AGGGTCAAAAATAGTCTAGCAGACATCTTGGCTCCATTCGAAGAAAATCAAGAGCTTCAAGGGTCGCTTGAAATTTTCCGTGAATTAAATTTAGAAATGAGAAACCAATGCACCAGCAAAACGCGCTCGCGTATCTTTAAGCTCCCAACCTCCTTGGTACTAAAAATAAAGCATGCTCTAATATTTAAAATTTTTAGAGCAGAATGCAGACGATCAGACCACTAGAAATATTTTTGGGCCTTTCACAGTAGAATGAAATGCGCTCCCAAAGTGACAAATTCATTCAGGGCTACCTTGTGTCGCAATGCTTATTGTTTCCTAAACCATCAATAAAACAGATCGAAACTAAAGAATTTTTACTAAAACATTCGAGTGGTTTACGATTAGCAAATTCGAGTGGTGATTCGAGATGTTTTTATTCAGTGACGCCCAGAATATATGTTTGATATTTGTTTGCTTTGAGGATTTATTGCAGATTTGTGAAAGTGTACTGAATGAGCGAGATACAAAAATAATCCCATTGAATGAGCTTAACGGACTGTTCTACCTCAATTCATCGTTAATCCCAATTCATTTGGATACCCTCGATCGTCTCAATGCCATTCTCCGAGGTACTGGTGTTTTTCACACGTAAGCCTTAAACGTTTCGACATTTCAATTTTCTGTCAATAGAACTGCGCCCCGAGTAAGACAAAAATACTGGCATGAAATTAGTCAAGTTTGTCGCAGATGGAGCCCCCTTTCTTCAAGGGTACGGACTGGGAGGAAATCGAATCTCTTATCCTATACATTACTGCTCCTTCTGGTTCACTTAGCAATTCGAGCACTTATATTTGTACGTATGCCGCTCAAATGTTGTGTAACGCTGCTGTGTGCGTCTAGACAGCACTTCTCGGGTACTGGGCAATAAAGTGCACATTTAAAGTAACACAAAAACAGGTACATTGTTCAGTGGGTGTACATGCGAATAGTGTTTTCCGTTTAACTTTTGATCTGGGCGAAAGAAATGCTTCCTCATCCATTCACATCCGTTTATTGCTCTAATTGCTTGGAAGTATCCACCCTCATACAGTGTGTTTGTTTTTCAAGTCTTAATTGGCTAACATTAATCCAAATTAGTAACATATTGCGTCTAGAAGTGCATGTCAATTTGTTACCAGAAGCGTATAATTAGCGGCACGAAGCAATACTAAAATCTTTCCTAACGATTCTCAATAAACGAAAAATTTTTAGAATCAAAGGTCAAAACTCTTGATTTTCAACTTTTCGCCCACTCGATGTAACTCATTTGGGAGGCACTTCAAAATCAAGCCACATCGATTGTTAATAACTTTCACTTTCGTAGAATTTCTCGCTTTCAAATTCACCTGAATTTCAATTTTCCTTTTTAAAATTTCAGTTTATAACTCTTTCAAGATGCTTCCCGAAGGATGATGAAGTGTATTTTTTTGAAGAAATCCCGAATATTTAACAAGCATTAGATTAACTCTCTCGACGCAAAACGCAAGTTTGTGTAAAACACAATTATGAATAATTTTATGAATTGTGAGAAATCGGAGGACTGCTTCGGTTACAGGTGTCCGGAGGGATTGCTAATCCAGTGACAGTTGTCTTCTTCGCCAGATCAAGCCGTGCCAGTAATCGAGCTTAGCTGTAATATAATTATGCTCATATTACGCCTGGAAAGAGCTTTTCGATTTTGCAGAACAAATAAATGAAATAGTGAAATAATCCTGAAGTGAAGTAATAATAATCCGGCTCCTAAAACTGATATTTATCCTGGTACTGGTAACGACACAATCGG